AAGGGCGAAAAATCTCGGAGGGCCCGTGTGCAAGTTGCGCACGTTAAAGATCCCTTGGTGGTCTAAAATCGATAAGAGTAGGCTTCGGCCGCCACTCGGGCCAAATTCAAAATTTCGTACCAACGAAAAAGTATTAGGTGTGTCCAGCGCGCTCATATGACTTTATACAGTTGCGAGCGCCGTAAAACCCTATACTAAAAAAACAAAACAATTACTCCTCCTCTCTCCACTTCTCTTTCTCTATCTCATTCTCACTGATGCACTCATTATGTTTCATTTTCCATAGTCTCTCTATTTCTCTCAGAATCTGCTGTTCTAGCCTTTTACCTCCCCCTCTCTCTCTCTTTCTCTCTCTCTCTCTCCTCTCCCTCTCTCTCTCTCTCTCTCTCTCTCTCGCTCTCTCTCTCTCCTCTCCCTCTCTCGTAGACCATAGATGAGACGCCATCACCTTGTGGACAGCTCCCCACCCACGACACACCCGCCCAGATAGAATTTCCACATTGCTCATTATAGCTTCGCCACTTCAACCTCACTGAGCAGAGCTGTGTTTTTCTGTTGTCCCACTCAGTGTAGTTTTTGCCCTCGTCTTCTTTATAAAAGTTGAGGATTCGAAATATGAAAAGTGAGTTCGTTTCTTCTGCAAGTTTGTTTACAAAGCAACGCCGGGAGCCCAGCTGATCAGAGACACTGAGATTTTACCAAACACTAACAATAATTTTATACTCACCACATTATTATTGCCGTGCCAAATCATGAAGGGTGTTTTCATGTGTGCATTCCTACTCGCTTCGCTGTTCACATGTGCTGTTAGTAAAGGAGAGGAAATCGAGTGTTTGCGTCATCCACTACTCTCTGCTTACTCTTGTAAGTATACGATCCGAAAGCATTACGATTTGTCTTTAAAAAATTAAGTATTCATCAGTGCTCTTGATTGTTGTTACTATTGCTACTGTGTTACTGTTGTTGTTTCTGTTGCTGCTGTTATTGCTTTTGTTGCTGTTGTTGTCGCAGTTTTTGCTGTTGTTGTAGCTGCTGCTGTTGCTTTTATTGTGCTGTTGTTGTTGCTTTTGTTGGTGGTGGTGCTGTTGTTGATATTGTTGTTGTCTTTTCTTGGGGGGAGGGGAGGGCAGGGAAGTAGCAAATAGTTCGTCCATAGAATTTTTTTTTTTCAGTCCCCTTTCAGTTTTGGTATGTGTTTTTTTTTGTATTAATTGCACAGTCGTGATAACCAAGCAAAAGGTACATGATTGATGATAATTGCAACACCATTTCCCAGTGCCCGAGTCCTATTGTACTGTTGATGATCTCATTATGAATGAACCGGCACAGCTGTGGGGATTTCCGCACAAAATAAAATGTGAGGCATCGTGGTAAAATCAGGCGATCGTCAAAATAATGATTCGAAGAAACAAGCATTTTCCGCCAGTTTGGCAATTTTTATCGAATTTTTGTTAGTCGGCTCAATACCTCCCGCGCCAATATAAAAATACATTTCCATGTGAAATTTACTTTTTAAAAAACGTTGATTTAATGCACAAAATATGAAATTCCATCGTTTTCACGATTCTCGAGCAATTTGAATTACCAAACGTTGAAGGCCGTTTTCTCCCTTACTTTACCATAGAAACCAAGGGACCTCACCTCCTTCAGTCTAAAAAATCTCGAGTTCAATTTAAGAGAGATGGATTATTTTTCAGGGAAAGCAAGGCAAATATAATCAAGCTTGCAGTTGATACCAATAACTCCATACGCCCAAAAATTGACAAACGTCTGATTCCACCGCGTCGTGAAATAAATATCGTTGTGTAATAGTCAGCCTTTTAGTTAACACATCTGAGGCATTCTCATTGAATGAGGCTCGTCTCTGGTGCGCTCAACTTAAGTCCTGCCGAGACAGAATGAAACGTTCCATTTTACAAATACTATTTTTGTAAAAATTATCTAATATCTTTTCCGTCTAGAGCAGAATACAAGGTGTAAGCAACACATTCAGAATCGCGTCAAAAGGAATGTTTTTTTCATTTTAGACTCAAATGTTCCCCTCCAAAAATATAAACATACAATCATACATATATTATACGTACGCACATACATACACACACGCACACACACACACACACACACACACACACACACACACACACACACACACACACGCCCGCGTACATACACTTATTAACGCGAGATCACTAGCGCTCACGCATACAGATGTACATACACTAATACAGCACACACACAGATCTCTCATACGCAAGCACGTGCACAGGCACACTTACCGAAATTAATATATATATATATATATATATATAAAGCTAAGCTAAATCGGTGAATAATATCATACAAATTTCAGTCGTGCTTGTTTAGAGGTTGCAGTTTGCCCCACAGCACCAGATGGCGACACCAATTAGCATGTTTGCATTTTAATTTATCTGTGCGTTGACCATTGACTATAGCCGATTTTAGTGTTTGTTGCAAGACGGCCGAATGGTTTGAGTTTATCACATTTTTTTCACGTTATTTAACAGTTTATTATTTTATTAGGTTTGTTCTATATTTTACACAGTTTTGTTGTGCACTTTGACCTTGAATGATCATAATACAGGCTGCAAGTACAGATCTTTCAGAACTCTGAACAGTCGAGAGAGGAAGACGGAAAGGGAGAAAGAGACAAACATAGAGGACTGGAGAGCAATATTTATGTACAAACACACATTATACACTTATTGTACGCATACTCTTTCCACGCTCTTTCTTCAACACACATATTGTAATAATAAACACACATAATGTAATATGCTTACACTCACGAACAGACCAAGAGTCACACACTCACACACACATATGATATTAAATGAAAAAATGTTAACAATGATGATGCCCAAACTATTGTTATATGCATATTGTTATACCCTCACTCATAAAACAAAGAACAGTCCTTCCGTAGCGATCACCAAAGTGACTTCTACATGTACCAACCTGAATCTCCAACTTTGGTGTCTGTAAACGTGTGAGGATCTATCTAAATATGAGCCAACTATAAAACACTTGGTCTATTATATTTGCAAGCAATGAGCCTTCAACTGCAAGCTATATGTGGACAAAACATGAAGCTGATTGACAGTAATTTTGAGTCCCCCTTTCCACAAAAATTATACTTGTACAATTATACTTGTACATCTATATCGACAAGGGCTACTTCGATCCTGCCTCTCAGGGTTCGCTGGAATTTTAGGGATACAGATTCTCTGTAAGTATACTGAGATACCCAGGACGGGAAGCCACGCTTTATGCGAGAAACTATGAAGTGCCTTGGAACTGCACCACAAACTCCGGTAGATATGACCTACTGTTAACCTTCTGGTGCAAGTAATGCTCTTAGTCTAACATTTATTAAAATGATCAAAGTTGCCAAGTGGTTTGTGAGCTCAGTCTTACAATGATCACCATCATGATATTAGATCTGAAACACATCGGCGATCATGGCTCTACATTCATTTCTGCGCTCGAATGCTCTCAAGAAACCTATGATTATTATACTGGTGTTTCCCCGTTATCCATCTAATCAGGTTTTCCGAATAATTTCATGTGTCTATCCATGCCTTGCTTGCTCTTAGTTGGGTTTTTTTCTTCTATTTTTCGAGTGAGAGCAGGATGTTCAAAGTGTTTATGTCAATTGAATTGTATTAAAAAAAACTGCATTTATCGCTTCCTCATATTACGTTCTCATCAATAAACGTTCCCGCGTGAACTTCTTTCAGAAAATTGGTATAATAAGAAACATAACGTGAGTTCAGATCAGGGTCAAGGGTGCGTGTTCTTAAGAAAAACACATAGTTGCTAACACAGTTGGGGCCTACAGTGGCTTGTTAATTGTTCTAGTCGGTTCGCGAATTTTTATCAATATATTAAAAATCATATATTACTTTATCATGCACTATCCATATGCATTTACCTATATGCATATTCATTGCTTTGTTAACTAGATTTTCAGAATGGACCAATAAAAGTTTACTGGTTTGGGGTTTCTTTTTCTTGTAAACATTTTGGTGAGAAGTTCATTACAAGTTCAATTGTTTTCAGTGGGATCGTAATCATCATTTCTTCTATAATTTACTTTGAAATGTTTTGTGTTGTGAATGTTCTAATAGTTTTGATCTAGATTCCCCTTTGTCATCGCCATAAACCAACTTTCTCTACCGTCGTTTGCACTCAACCAATGCACCACTAGTATCTTTGATCCCGATAACGAAGAGCGAACACTTGAGATATCAATAGGACTAAGATTTCATGAATAATCCCAATTTGTGTGTTGGCCTACTCTTCTTTTCATCCATTCAATTGCACTGACATTATTATTTAGTTCTTCCAAACCTTTTTTTCTGTATGCTTGCTCCTTGAATTCCATCTGCGGCTTCCTTATTATTTCGAGGAGTGATATTTTCATGGTTGCTATTTCAAGCAATGCTTGGTTTATCTTCTTTATCTGTACATGATATTTTGAGCATTCTCCTTATGAATCACGTTTCTGTTTTTTTCTCTTTTTAATATTGTTCTTGATTGTCTAGAACTCACGTCCATGAGAATTGAGCAATACGGCATACCTTCAATATCCCGAATTTTGTAACCATTGTAATGTTTCAGTTTGACGTGACAGGGACAATAATTTTGCACATTTAATGAGAACAATAATAATAGATATATCAAGACATCATGGTCCGAAGAAAAATTTGGGCTATGTCTTTTTCTAGTTGAAGGTGTTGCATTTTCGCGGGATAGTTTGTGAGGAATATAACTACGGAAGACAGAGACATCACAACCATTTCTCCCCCTCTCTCTCTCTCTCTCTCTCTCTCTCTCTCTCTCTCTCTTTCTCTCTCCTTCTCTCTCTCTCTGTTTTTGTCTATCTGTCTCTTTCTCTCTCTCTTTCTCTCTATTTTTAAAGCTATGTATCTTCGCATTTATGTATGTATGTATGTATGAATGTATGTATGTATGTATGTATGTATGTTTGTATGTATGTGTGTATGTGTGTATGTATGTATGTATGTATGTATGTATGTATGTATGTATGTATGTATGTATGTATCTATGTATCTATGTATGTATGTATCTATGTATGTATGTATGTATGTATGTATGTATGTATGTATGCATGTATGTATGTATGTATGTGTCTATCTATCTATCGATCTATATACCGATCTATCGATCTATCGATCTTTTTTTCTGCCTCCCTCTCTCGCTCTCCCACTCTCTTTCTCATTTTTAAAAACACAAACACACACACCCACATACGCACACATACATACTTACAAACACACATACACACCCACACACGCACAACACAAAAACACACCCACACCTACACACCCCCACCCCCCGGTCATACACACACATTTGCACCCTGGCCACTTATACACATATTTTATCCCCCCGTTTGTCTCTCTATCTCTCTCTCTCTCTCTGTATATATATATGTATATATATATATATATATATATATATATATATATATATATATATATATATATATATATATATATACATATATGTACATATATATATGTTTATTTATTATGTTATATCTATGTGTCTATCTATCTATCTATCCATTTATCCATCAATCTATTTATCTATCTATCTATCTATCTATCTATCCATATATGTAATCTTTGAAATCAAAACGATTGAGACAAAATACTTCTTATTACATAAGAAAGACTACGTTGCTTACTGTTACAGTGGTCATAATATTATGTAAACTTTTTTTTTAAATCCAAGAAAGGCATAATTAAAAATGGAAAGTTGGCACTCGACAGTGAAAGAATTTGACCTGGTGTACAATATAGATAATACCATGAAAT